CAGAATATGTAACAGCTTCTTTTCTACCCATGCAGTTTTCTTTGATTATGATCCCAGCATATACCGAAGGAGTCAGTTGATGGCGTTGTCCAACAGCAAAATCGTGGTCGTCGAGGCGCACTTTATAATTCAGATGCATTAAAACAGGAGCTTGTACTTTTGCAGCTGTTTTTCCTATGGGTACTTTGGCTTTATCATCTTGAGAGATAAAAACTACCTGTTCAGGCCCAAGTATAGATGCAAGCTCTTCGAGACTGTTGGCAGTAGCCTTGCAGAAATATTGATCGGCGTGATCTCGGTGTCTATCTGTTTGGGCTCGACACAGTCTTACAGGCACAGTTGTGACATGGCGCTTGCCTTCTAAAGATCCAGAATACTTTGGAATCAGCCTACGGTATGTGGAGGTTCGTGAGATAACAAATCCATCTTCAACAAGAAGTGCATGCAATTCATCAAGAGTCTTACAAGTTCTCAATACTTCTGATCGGCGTCGATCAGCAGCTGAGCTTCCATGTGTTGCTATATCGCAAATTACTTGAAGAAGCCCTGCCTGATTTTCTTCAAGTGGAGGGCGTCCTGGCTCAGTCCTGATAGATGAAGATTGTACGTTGGAATGAGCGGATTTCAGACTCAAAATTTCAGATTTTTGTTTTGCTCTAAATTTTCGCATGTTATTTGCACGGACTATTTTGTTATGTAACTCTTTTTTCTTTATTTCAGTATCGTGTCTTAATTTTTTAATCTTCATCTCAATTCTATCTGTGCCCAGCCCTGCATCTCGCTTTTTTACGGAGGCATTTAATTCAGCTTCAAGAACTGAAATTTCAGATTTCAAAACGTCTTGTTTTGGTGTCGGACCTTTTATAGATGTAGAAGGTATTGAAGTAGATGCTTGACCAACACACGATTCATTATCGCAGGCTAGAAATAAAAATAACTATGTGAATCACTACCCATTTAAAATTAAAAAGTCAAAAAGGGCTTCGTTAAAAGTTGTACAATATGTATAATACAGAATCCTAATTTAACTACACCATATACATTGTAAAGACGATTTAAGCTACAGAATTTTAAAACAAGTTTCTGACAAAAATTAGATGCATTTTAGTACAAGCTTTTATTACTGACTGTACCTTCTTTTCACACAGTCACCAACTGCCTGTTGAGCGGGTTCTAATGAGCTCAAACACGATGAGGTTGTGTCATTTTATAACGGAGTTTCTATAGCCTCTTTCATCGTCATATTATTGCCACGCGATATACCTATTCGTGCAAAAATTCAGCTTACCCGGCACCAGGAAGTGCATCAAATTTAATTTCAGCAAGAATTGAGTACAAACAAATATCGGGACAAGTGAAACTAAGTGAAAGCTTGTTAAAAATATACCGGTAGAACAGATAGAGTTAATAGTAGTTAGTGGTGTACCTTTCCGAGGAATAGAAATCGACTCATCACTCTTGTCATCACTGGTAATATCTTCAATTTTGGGAAGCAATTTGAGATCACCTTGCGTGGTTGAAGCTTTTCGTGCAGGTAGCTACATTTAACCAAATACAAAAAAGAAACACACATCACCAAGTTCACACATGCGCCAGCAGAAATAATAAATTGATTAGTTTGCTAATATTTTACCGAGACTAAAGCACATGAAAATAATGAAAATAATATATGCTACAGTAGAATCCGGATATATAACGACATTCAAGGGACCGGCGATATTATGTCGTACACCGGACGACGCACAAAACGGTAGGAGTATTTCTTAAGTACATACATACCTAGTCATGTACGTACGAACGTACATATGTAACATATTGATTTTACTATTTAGATAAATAAAAAAGGTTATAGGTATATGCAGTACCTATGTTTAGGCGCGAAACACACAGAAACGGCATACAGGTGAAGATACAGTGAAGGCGCGGGACAGGCAAGGTACGGATGCGATTAAAGTTATACCACAAAACGCATAACGTATGGTTAAGTTTGTTTTTTAGGTTATAAAATCGTCATGGCTGCGCTGCGCCGTTTGTGTACCTATAATTCAAAAATGTCGCCTACGTACATTTTGTATGAAACGAATTGAAGCGGCGGCGTCGTAACTGCGCTGCGCCTGTCTTGCGCCTTCGCCTTTTGCCCTTTCTGTGTGTTTCGCGCCTTATAAATGCGAAAGGTTGATTTTCGTATGGTAAAAGTAAACACAAACTGTGATTTACGCGCGCCAATAGGGAGAGTTGAAAGGTGAAGCGCGCGGGGGAAGTGATGTGGCCGAGGCATTTGTCAAAGTTGAAACAAAACATTGCGCGTCGTATAAGCTATAAGCGGTTAGTCGCTATAAGCGACGTCGTTATAAGTGAATTCTACTGTATTCTCATACCAGTCATACCGAAAAAGAGAATGTAAAAAAAAAATATTTTATGTCAGTATAGGCCGGAACTATACAAGCTAGTTCCGCATTTGAAATCATGAAAAAAATGTTTGCAAAAGTATGAAGAATCCGTGCAACAAAAAATTCAGAACACTAACCTTTACAAAGAAATTGAGGCGTCGTGCGCTTTTCTTAGTCGCAATTTGACAAAGCTCTTCAATTTTTAATAGTGCGAGACGCTCCAACTCCTTCGGATTTTTTTTGTATTGATCCCTTAATGGCACCCAAAATTCGTTTGTTTTTTTTTGGATTGCTTGCATCGACAAGGAATCCTTGTGACATTTTGTAAATGCACTGAATAGTCGATCATACAACGACATTATAGGTACCTAAAAAAATACCGAACTGCCGACAAGCGACGTCCACACTCTGCGATCGCTTGGGTCAAACTGACATGGCGGCCGGCAGTCGGCAGGCGTGCGCGTCGGCCGCCGTCAGCGATTCTCGAAAATTTTATAGTGATGTCGCGATACTGGACAAGTTTTATTGATGGGGTAATAAAAACGTGGCGTTCTTAAAAAAAAATTATTGACTACGTGACAAGAAACCAAACCCCCCCCCCTCCCCCCGGTGACCATGAGTGGTACTTTGAAGACCCCCCTCCCCCCCCTAAATCGGTCACGTAGTTTGGGTATGTTCCCTATCCGCTAAAAATACTGCGAATACCCTCTACGCTGTTAAGTGCAGAACCGCGGGATCCCCGTCTCCTCACCAACGGCCTAGCCGGGGACCTTTTTGGTACCTACGAAACCCTAAAAACTAATCAAAGAGTCCAACCGTTGGAACACAGTAGTTCCGCCGTACCTACATTAAATTATCAAACAGTAGTCGTAAACTTAGTTTTATTGCTTAACTTACCATCTAAAACGTTCATCGATTTGCATAAAGTTGCAAATTTATGGTTAAAATTCGCACGAATGTTGGATTAAGTCGGACCTTATCAGAAAGGAGTTAGGTTGAACGTCCAATGTCGACTGCGATGCAAAGAGGAACTCAATATGGGGTGAAAACTGATAGAAACCTGGACAATCTGAGTCTCATAACGAAAGTATTTACTTCGTCGTATAACAAGAAAGGAATCCTTTTACATATATTGCACCTACGTTCAGGACAGTGTGATACCCGAAAACTATTCAATTGATCATTATTGTATTGGATCACGCGATGTTTCTACTGCCTTGATTGATTCTTCATATAGTTTAATGATGCTCCATGTAGTATATTCCCACGTAAGTGATATATTTTTGTTCAATTGGATATTACGGCAATCATCAGCCGGAATATTCATGCATTTATTGTTTATACCAACACTTTTTAGAATACACATAAATTCTTGTTAACAATAGAAACGAACTGGATGGCGTCAACGCTGTCGTCAATTATTTATTTGTTTTTTTTACGGCGGCCGGTCGATTATTTATTCGTCTAAGGTTTTATTTAACCTAAAATCTAATACTGAATAGGCTAAATTTTGTGATCGAAATTTGAATTCGTTCTATCGTATGGAGAAAGAAGTAGCATATCCTTGTAAGGTTGTGGGACCTTTTTGATGTGTGTTAAGAACTTCCAGTCAAGCTATCGTCTATCGTACCGCAGCTCGATAATTCGTTAAGATAGAACTAATTCTAGTTTTGAACGCTAATTTTAGCGCATTTTAGTACCGAGCGTAGGTGTAGGAGAAGCCAAAGGGCCAATTGCACCAAAATCCTTTACTTAAACTAAAAAGGCTATCACGTAAAAGCCTCATTTCATATTTATTTGATTTCAAACAATATACAGGGGTGAAAAGATGGATGAATAAGATTAAACCCTAATTTGAATTAAGAATGTTTGTGCAAGTGGCCCTTAGAAAAATGCTTTTCGTGAAGCCGGTCATCGGATGAGTAAGCATATTTATTTAACTCTTTCGTGATTCATTTGAATTTTTCTAAAGGCAATTAAATTTTTTGGTCAACCTGCGTTGTAGACAACAGCATCTGTTTAAGAGCACTTCATGTAAGATCTTATGTTTATAGGCTAGGCACACAATGATTGTATTTCTAGTATATTATTAAATAAAAAAATATGCGTTCTGCATCCTTTTATTTTCTTCACCCAAAATCTGTCACTCTAATAACACAAAATATATTAGAAGAAGACTCCCTTTAGTTACCCCCCTTCTTTTCCTTCACACATTAATAAGATGGTTGAAAATAAGTCTAAATTGATTTTGTATTCCCCTTTTAGTCTATTTCCAAACTATTTACTTAGGACTCCAATTATAAATTAACTAGTCAATGACGTGAATTAATCTATTTCGCAAGTGCCCTGAAGGGTCGAATGAAAATTTATTACCCAATAAATAAATATTTAATGCTTTCCAGTCCTTAAATATTAGCAACAATGGGATTGGTAAAATGCAAATAACTACTTTACTATGCGTAGCGTTTAGATAATACACTGTTATAAGAAGGTCTTTCCTATTTTTGTAAAACTAAGATATCAGAATATGTGTCAATTAAAACTTTATTCTCGTCAGAATATAAAACATTTTTAAGCGATTAATGTTCAGATTAAAGGATTTCAACTCACCGGTTTTTCTTTATGGAGCAATTAATCACTTCACTCTGTTTACCTTAAGCATCTGTTATCTGTTATCACTGTCAACTCGTGCGCATCACGCTACAGTCACTTCAAGAATACTACAATATACTACACTCAGTTAACAACCGTGCTGAAGTCGAGTGTAATTAATGCATCTCGTTAACTATCGTCACGTGTGTGATAGGTTGATATCACTATCATAGCGCGACATCGCAAATTTTCTTCTCACAAGGAGACTCTTTCGTATGTGATATGCACAAAAAGTTAAAATTGTTGGTCCAACGTCCAAGAGTTTTATTTTAACTATGAAAGAGTTTCCATGTGAGAAGAAAATCTGCGACGTCGTGCGAAAAATGTTCGCAATACATTTTAAATTTTCGCGACAAGTCGGGCCAAGCAATAGTCATATTTCAGAACACGGTCAGAAATGTGACCATTGCTTGGTTAGAGGTGTCGTGATAGCAGCAAATGTTCGCGATAGTGCAATAGTGTGGCCGTAGCAAAATTTAAAAAATAAGAAAATTTACACTAATTAAATTATGAAACAAAATACGAATCGTCGAATTGATTGAAAAGGTACTAAAAGCATAAATTCCAATCTGTTCAAAACAATCTTTCACCACAGAGCAAACAAAAAAAAGTTAAAAAAAAACTAGTGTGCACGGACCACACAACTGAAGTGAAACTTTTTCTTAAAAAAAAAATGTGTGTGTCAGCTCCGACGCACGACTGGAGTTTACTCCTTAAGTTCGATAGTCTAACCAGACGCAAAAAGAGTTTATTTAACTTAAAAAAGATTGATACTATATGAAAGGGTAAATTAACAAATTAATGAAAATAATATACATATATAAATATATATTTATTAATTTTATATACATTTATTATAACTAATCGACGAATTATTTTACATTAAACTTTTTACAACAGTCAATTTCAGATGTGCATAAATATATCATTAGGAATATTGATAAATTATGTAATAATTATTATCCCACTATTATCATTTTTTTAAATAATAATTAATCAACATTGTCTGCATTATTAATTACAGTGACAAGTGGTTTATGGTAACTAAAATAAGACACATGGACGTTCGAAGATACGTGGTTCACGAATCTTGAAAATACCGCATCAATGGGTGTACCATACCTCGTTGTCCCCATTGCTCTATCAGAAACAATATCTAAATTCAGTTCAGATTTTAAATAAATTATTAATGTCAATCCGTCATCTTTGTATGTCAAAGATGCGCGACATAGGATGCGCACCAAAAACGTAACGAGGTCATTCATCGATAGATTTTATTCCTCACATTTTTCTCATACCGGGCCCCTTATATATGCAAATCGATTCTTAAGGAGTAAACTCCAATAACCTAACATTAGGCGGTGCACAAGGCATAGGGGAATGGAGCAGCGCACGCATCACTCGTATATATGTATGTATATGTTGTCACGTGTGACGCTCGTAGCGTTTCACCCTTCACCGAGTTACCCTCCAACTTTCATGATCGTCGGGAAGAGCTGAGCACGCATCCCGCACACACATACTCACACAACCACATATAAATGTAGTCGTGTGACTTTCGTGACGCATTTCCGTTTCATCTTTTCCAAAGTATTTTTCAATTTACACACCGTCCGAAAAGAAGTTTCACTTCAACCCCCCCTCCCCCCTGCGTCAGAAAGATAAAAGATTTTAATATTTTCACTTCATAGAAATTGTATCTAAAAAACATAGAATACATTAGTTGTGTTTTTAATAGCGGAAAATTTTAAGAAAATATTCTGCAATAATTTAATGCTTACATCCACAAAATTAATAATTCGTTTAGAGGTCTTTGCTCGATCTCTATTACAATAAATTTAAATCGGCCATTAAAAATCACTTGTTAATAAAGCTTATTATAAAGTTTCTGATAACTAACTTCTTCAATTATTTATACGAGTCATTAGGCGCGTCTACACTGTCCCCGAACGAGCGCGGTAGCCTCGGTGTCACCGCGAGGCTGCCGCGCGCGGCAAGCCCGAGCCCGTTTTCTTCGTTCGTTCATTGTCGTGATTTTTCCCGCCTGAAAGATCCCATCAATGACTCCATTTTATTTTTAAATCAGGAACCGGAACATTCATCTCGTGGCTAATATTTAACCAGGCATCTTCCCTAAATCCTCTATTTGTAAAATTAAGATCACTTGCACTCCATAGCCATTACGCCATAGAGAGATATTAATTTCAAACACTGATCTTTATTCATAACTAGTGGCCCGCCCTCGCTTTGCTTCGGTGTAGAGCTGAAGTGTAGACTAGAGTTATTGTTCTCAGGCCTGTATTCATGGAGCACCCCCACTAGAGTCCGCATCACACAAATTTTGTTTGGAATCAAAATCGCCAAAGTCGGTGGGGTGCAGGGAGGTCAGCCCCGCTGTGATTGGACGCGTCAAGGTCAGATCATATACTCAGTGCAGCGAAGTGATGAGGGTAAGATCGATTTTAGAAAATATCGATATTTTCTATCGATAAGCAATTTAGAATAGAGGCCTAGTACTTTGGTGCGCAAATGCGTAATCATACCCTCTCCACTTTCTTACAGCGTTCTAATTACATGACGCGACTAGTAACTACATATAATTTATTATGTAAGCAACACAAAAAAAAACACGTCCAGGACAAGAAGTATTAATGCAACGATATTAACTACCCTAGATACAACAACACGAACAAAATCGTGGCCGAAACGTGTCCAAAAGGTACATTGGACGATCCACGGAGGTCCGTAAGATCGCATGGTCAAAAACAATATAATGCCTTATTTAAACATTGAAAGTCACCTTTAATGCATACGGCATAAGGTCTTAATTAAAATGCATGCGTCAAGTTCGTAAAATTTTACGATTTAGTGTTATATGTGAAAGAATATAGACCTTATTTTTTTTTACTTTTCACGCGCAATTCTGAATGCGCTGTTAACAATATAGCAGGTACAGACCGCGAAGAAAAGAGATGGCTAAGACATTAATTAGATACCCATCGAAAAAACGACACTTTACGTACTATTAGTATTTTTCTGCATTTTTTCACGGAACTCTTTGGCATCTTGACTTTTCAACGGTCCGCGTGTGACTGTGTACTAAGAAGTGCTTGAGTGGAGTTCAAGCACTTCTTGATTGGGACCACAGACTACTAAATAGTCTGTGGTGGTGGTGTGTAGATATTGGGACACATTTTGAGCGGTCGTGGTGTATCTAGGGTATTTAATATCGTTAATTCTATGTCTTTATCTAGGTCATAAACTATGCGCACTTAATTTCATAAAAATCCGTTTAACCGTTTTAGCGTGAAAGAGTAACAAATATGCATACAAATTTTCGCATTTTTAAAATTTTATTAGGATATGTTTGACTTCAATCAAATAAAAACTGTTGGTTGTATACTTATGACATCTATTATTGTATACGATGAAATAAATAGTTTTTATTTATTTTTTCCATTTCCATAGCTGACAAATTTATCGACAAACTTACGCGTTGAGACATGAGCTGCGTCTGAGTCACTAGCAATACACGTGCCGGTGTGAGAGCGAGATAGCATATATGATGTAGCCCATGCGAGAAAGGGATAGTGTAAAAAGACATCAACGCGTTCACCAAAAAATAAATACATTAACAGCAATTTAATATAACAGTATTTTTGTCTTTTTGTAATGCATTTAAACTAACCAGTGAAAAGAAATACCATTTTTTTGAAGACTGGAAGTTGTACTCGACTTTCCACACAATTTAATTGCACAGTACGGCATTTTTTACAGTTTTTTAACACGAAAACGAGAGAAGCAGTTCGACCAACGCTCGGTTACCGAATGAAACGATGTATCGCGACGTCTGTAGGCGTGCCTCACGCATAGGTAATATACTACTTAAGCTTGGCGTAAGCGCTTGCCCTTGTATGCGGACTCTAGTGGGGGTGCTCCGTGCCTGTATTATACACAATGGCATTCTTCTTATACCTACCGCCGCCGCGACCCGTGTCGAGCGCGGCAACCGTTACACAAAAATAATCCTTATAGCATGATTCAGTATTCACGTGCGACGGCGCGATGGCTTATTTCATGTATAAATTTGGTGTTTCTATACCGATTTCTATGATTCTTTTTTTATTGAATAGGTAATAATGTTAACTTTTAAAATCAGGGATGAGTGATAGTATTATAAACGTAAGAGTAATAGTACATTACGATACGCGTGGCCTAAATTGCCTATTACTGCACGGCGTGAAGTTATCGTATACTATTTCATAGCAAGTGTGACATAAACCCGCCCCGGACGCGGGCAAGAGGGGGGGGGGGGGGGGGGGTGCAATCACAAAGAATTGCAATACAGACTGCCATTTCTTTTCAGAGTCAAACTCTGAAAAGAAAGAATTCCGGTTCAGATTACCATTTTGAAAGTATATTTCAAAAGGAAAAAATCAAATATCATTACAACAAAATAGAATTTCAATGTATCCATGAACGTTTATTCCTTGATTGGCATAGTAAAGTTAAGTTACGCGTATCGTAATGTACTAATTCTATATAAGTGATGTTGGTCAATTCATTTACACACCGTGCAGAAATAGGCAACTTAGGTCACGGAAAAGCGTGCGTAAAGTGCGGGTTTAGGTCACACTGTGCTATAAACAAATATAATCAGAATGCTCCGAACTGCTAAGCTATCAGGAGTTACACGTGTTATTGTGAGTCAACCATAAAAGATAGACATATGCTGTTGCGGGAAATTTTTTAGACAATTTTATGTAGAATATTTCCGTCATACATGATTTCTATGTAACTTTAACCATTAAGGCTGCACACGCAACGGAAGCTAAAAAAATGGAGTAACTTCTCCCGTTTTCCTAACATTTCCCTTCACTACTCTGCTGCTATTGATTGTAGCGTGATGAAAAGTATATTTTAACCTGCCCAGGAGTATGAAGAATAATTGTACCAAGTTTCGTTAAAATCGGTCGAGTAGTTCGGCAGGCTTTTTTCTATTATTATGATGAAGATGAAATTATTTTGTATTGACACCGTAACAATATAATATTTTGTAAACAGACAAAAATTTTACTGATTGCATTTTTGGCATCAGTA